TGAATATAAGAATTATTGTGTTTTTGTTACCTTAGAATGAGCCGTCTTTATATAAAGGGAGTGGATTTCTTCCACAGAGTCCCCCATGTTTCTACAGTAGCCCAGAATGGACAAACCAAGCACTGGCTCTACGTAGGGCCTTTCATGTTTCCTACACTTCCTGCACACTGGTCCCTTAAGTGTCAGAGACGCTTGGTCAGGAATTATTTGCTGTTTGGTTTGGTTTCTTATGTTTCAGTTTTGATTTTAGTAACACTGATGCAGCCAGAAAATAGAGTATTAGATTATTTATTCTTTAACAGATTTTTCACTACAGAAATAACAAAAAAATATTGTTTACAAATGTGTTGTATGCATGCAACACACACACACGATCTGTGAAGTGATTAAATCAGTTTAAGTTGATTTAGTTTCTTTATATGACTTTATAGGATATTCAGAATGGGGACATTTGTCAGAACTGCCCCCAAATATTTGAGCTCCTTGCTTATCTGCTTTTCAATACAGGCATCAAGGTGAGTACAACCGTTGGCTAAGCCTTCCCTAGGATTACTATTTGCTCACTGATAATATTATTTATACAGGGTAAGTCCATATTATTAAGTCAAAATTGATATATAACTGTGTTTGCATAGTGTTCATAAAAAAAACACCAATCAAAGTATAAAGATGCAACAACAAAAGGTGTATGACATAAATTAATTTGTTATACTTTCATAAACACATTAGGTTATCCTTTGTTCCCTCTATTCTAGTACACTTACATTTTAATTTGTCATCAATAATATATTTTGTATTATTAATTTAAGTAGGTAATCTTATTGAGATCTCTTTTGCAAGAGAAGCATAAATACAGCATAGAGAGAGAGAAAACAATTAGCCAGACACACAAGATCTTTAAAATCTGTAAAGGAGGTGAAGATGCTTCCACTGGCCTTTAACATGATTATTGCTTTAATGTTAAGACATTCTGCAGTCTTTGCTCTCTGTCTGTTTCTGACTCTTCTGAGAGGGGATGCCCACACTGTGGTGAGCTTCCCACAGATATGAGGTGAGTCACACACGTGTAGTGAGTCACACACATGCACAAACACAGTATTGTCTTTGTCCTGCATACAGACAGCATGGCCAACTGTGTGTAAGATATGCAAGCTCACATTAATCTCTATGTTACAGCCTCCTTTTGTGCAGGATGCTGTGGTGTTGAATAAGGTATGTCAAATCTTGCCCTCCTTTGTCCAAAAAGTGTACATACATAATCAACACATTCGGCAGGGACGTGCTGGATGGACTTGTGACACACACTGCACCATATGTATTGTTATGCTCATATTTAGATTGTAGGAGGCTTGTAGGTGAGTCAGCACAGCTGCTTTTTGTTCAGTCACGTGTGCAGGTTGGCAACTAATCTCATAATGTCTCAATTATTTTTTGACTAATTCATTGTTTTGTCTATTATTGTCAGAACATTGTGGAAAAATGCCCCTTACAATTACCCAGGGCGCAGAATGATGTCTTCAAAATGCTTGTTCTATCCGAACCAACAGTCAAAGATATTCAATTTGTTATTCTGTGTCAGATTTTTACTAACTATGATTATAAATTTGTACCAGTTTTAATTCTTTATAGGAGATTTTTGTGATTTCAGCCACTTTAATTATACCTAAATCAGTCTGTGAACTTCTCAGACCATGATTTTATCATCAGATGTAGGTTGGAGGTGCTTATAAAATAAAGTGATATAATTCTTTTATACAAAGAAAACTCCATATTACTTAATAATACATTTTATTTGTAAAAGCACTTTTC